GGATGTGGTGTCGGCCATACCACCCAGTGTAGGGAGAAAACAGGGAGGATGTTATGTTGACTATACGATCCCCTTTTGAGAGAAAACCTGAAAGGCTGATGTGATATTGTCTATACGTTCTCCTGTTGAGAGAAAACCAGGGCAGTTGATGTGCCGTTGGCCGGTTGATGACGTTCTGAGACCTAACCACTAGAGCTTTACCGCGCTAGTAAGGGTGTGAGAAGCCACAATAAAACTACAAAAACAGGTTAAGCTCGAAGTTTACAAACTGGTATGCTCTATATGATTGGATGAAATAACAGACTAAATAATAATAACAATAATAATAATAACAACTGAATGCTGTTTGATCATAACACAATGTAACTAGCACCCAATATGCCAGGCTGCAGTGTAAACAGACGTCTGTGACAACTTTCACCTGGCAATGCGGGAACTGAAAGAATCAGAAAGCAACAAGACAAATATAATCAGCTGTAGAGAAAATAATGGCCACCCCGACTTGTTTAGACTACCAAAGTTCAGATTAATAAAGATTACAAATTCTTCACTAAGTCACATGCAAGACAAAGATGGGGGCTTATTGCCTTATATTTTGAGCGCCCGGAAGGCACTAGAAGACCAGATTAAAGCCAGTTTTCTCCATTCGGCATAAAACATGCCACCTGTGCAATTAATCGTCTCTCCCTTCCGTGTCCTCTTGAGCTTCTAGCGTAGCATTTCACGCCACCAAGGGCGCTGAAAAGAACTTATACAGTGTTGATGGACTGACCCAAATACTGCCCCGACCTGCGACGCAGTCTTCTACCGGCGAGCCAGTGGACGACCTGGTCGCTGATGTGACTTTTTTTCATGTGGCGCTGCCTTCAAATATTCAACAACCCCCCCCCCCCCCCTTTTTTCCCTTCTTTTTCCTCCCGCAAGACCCGCACCCAAAAATATATTTTTTTAAAATGTAGGTAAAAAAAAAAAAGGACCACAAAAAGAACAAAACAAGCACTATTAACAAGAACTTTGAGAAAAACATCCGCATTAATCAAAGTGTTAAATAACATTAAGACACAGTCACCAACAACTGTAATTTTTCTGTCCAAATATCGGTACGATGATTAACACTGTTTATTACGAGTACAAAGGCACCTATTTTCAAAACTCCTTTACCCTAGACTGAAAAATTCCTTGCCCCCTTCCCCCGCCCCCTTTTTTCTTACCCCAAACCCTCCCCCTCCCACCACCTTACCCCCACCACCATCCCCATCCTATATAAGGGGTGCGCTTCCTTACTGAAACTGCTGAAATAAAGATAAGTGGATTTATCATGTCAACTAATACTATGCGTATATGGTAGAAAGTTCGTGTTTTATGTCAGGTAAAAGAAAAAAGAAAATCGCCGTTACCACGGTAACGGCTCATGGGGCATATGTCTTACGCCCATCATTTTATAGTCCAGTCAGCACCAGAAGGGAAACATGGCCAACATCACTTAGGTAATCTTTACTTCCCAGGATATTTCCAGGTAGCAACATCAATATGGTCGCTCTGGGAGCCAATGCTGATTAGAAAACGTCTTTTGCAATGCTGCTTCGCACAATGTTTCAGTTGGCTGTATATCAACATTGATGCCATTTTGTTTCCATGTCATTATGGTATTTTTTATTTTATTTTAGAGATCATCAACATCATCATGTAGCAGATCCTTTGCAGAACGTCGCTCTCATCACGGTCTGCCTGAAAGAAACTCGGTCTCTCGCCAGTTCTCCTCATGTACTTCCACACTCAAAGAGTCACTTATATCCTGTGCCCATCTTCGTGTCGGTCGGCCCCTGCCACTCCTTCCTGGTACCATGCCTTCTGCCATAATTTTTTTTCTAATCCGTCCTGGCGCTTGATATGACCAAAATATTTCAGCTTCTGAGACAGGATGCTGTTTATTAGCCAAATTTTCCTTGATGTTCAGATCTTTGAAGATGTCAGTATTTCTCCTCGTGTTTGTCCAAGATATTCTGAGAATCTTTCTATAGAATCTGTTTTTCTTCTTCTTATTTTCTTTTTTCAAGAGATACTGTATCGAAATTACATTAATATCTCACTGCTAGTTCATCTCCGACTGGGGTCAGGAGGGTTATGAGTAGGGGGGGGGAGGTGGGGGGAGGGAGGAGGGGGGAGGGAGAACAGACATACTGTCCCTCCCCTCCCATAAGCATATCGTAAAAGGCAAAATGGCAACTTCTTGTTGTTGTTCGCTTTCACCGGCAATACACTCCAGAGCAAAGTTCTGGTTTGTTCGTCCACTTCTGTACTTTGGTCTTGTTCTAGAACCAACTGGAGGTGTTCCCAACAAAGACACATTTACTTGATGGCCTAGGAGGCTACTGTCGATTGGCGGTGTAGGCGTTTGTTGTGAACCTTCTAGTCCAAATTACGGACTGTCATAGATAGGCAGAAGGACCCTATGCTCTGAGGACCCCAAGACAGCTACACAAGGCATGTCTGTGCTACGATGGCTCTTGCCAATAGCGCCATCAGCATACCAACTCGTCGTTTGCTTTCTAAGAAAAGTTCAAGAGCGCAGGCAGATTAGAAAGACCCGTATAGCAGGTCCTTGAGCTACACAGACACTGTAGCCTGGTCTTTGTTGTCCTAGATCTTTTACGGAGCCGTACTGGGCTAACAAGTCACCTCCCGACTTACAATCAACTATAGTTTCATGACAGATACAAGAACCATGGGTCTAGATCACCTCTGATGGACGAACAACAACAACTGAACAAAAGCACACAGGAGCAAGTATCCAAATGGTCCGAGCTCAGGGGTGCAGATTCATTCATTCATTCCCTTGTGTAATTTACCTTATTCCCCTAACACCATTTAAGCATGTTTCTACGTTCGTCATTTTCATTCTGTAAAAGTCCGTGGAAAACGCTGCTTTTACTGGAAACATAGTGTGTGAACTAGGGACATAGTGTGTGAACTAGGGACATAGTGTGTGAACTAGGGACATAGTGTGTGAACTAGGGACATAGTGTGTGAACTGGGGACATAGTGTGTGAACTAGGGACATAGTGTGTGAACTAGGGACATAGTGTGTGAACTGGGGACGTAGTGTGTGAACTAGGGACATAGTGTGTGAACTAGGGACATAGTGTGTGAACTGGGAACATAGTGTGTGAACTAGGGACATAGTGTGTGAACTAGGGACATAGTGTGTGAACTAGGGACATAGTGTGTGAACTAGGGACATAGTGTGTGAACTGGGGACATAGTGTGTGAACTGGGGACATAGTGTTTGAACTGGGGACATAGTGTGTGAACTGGGGACATAGTGTGTGAACTGGGGACATAGTGTTTGAACTGGGGACATAGTGTGTGAACTAGGGACATAGTGTGTGAACTGGGGACATAGTGTTTGAACTGGGGACATAGTGTGTGAACTGGGGACATAGTGTGTGAACTGGGGACATAGTGTGTGAACTAGGGACATAGTGTGTGAACTAGGGACATAGTGTGTGAACTGGGGACATAGTGTGTGAACTAGGGACATAGTGTGTGAACTGGGGACATAGTGTGTGAACTGGGGACATAGTGTGTGAACTGGGGACATAGTGTGTGAACTAGGGACATAGTGTGTGAACTGGGGACATAGTGTGTGAACTGGGGACATAGTGTGTGAAATGGGGACATAGTGTGTGAACTGGGGACATAGTGTGTGAACTGGGGACATAGTGTGTGAACTAGGGACATAGTGTGTGAACTGGGGACATAGTGTGTGAGCTGGGGACATAGTGTGTGAACTGGGGACATAGTGTATGAACTGGGGACATAGTGTGTGAACTAGGGACATAGTGTGTGAAATGGGGACATAGTGTATGAACTGGGGACATAGTGTGTGAACTGGGGACATAGTGTTTGAACTGGGGACATAGTGTGTGAACTGGGGACATAGTGTATGAACTGGGGACATAGTGTGTGAACTAGGGACATAGTGTGTGAAATGGGGACATAGTGTATGAACTGGGGACATAGTGTGTGAACTAGGGACATAGTGTGTGAAATGGGGACATAGTGTATGAACTGGGGACATAGTGTGTGAACTAGGGACATAGTGTGTGAAATGGGGACATAGTGTGTGAACTGGGGACATAGTGTGTGAACTGGGGACACAGTGTGTGAACTGATGACATAGTGTGTAAACTAGGGACATAGTGTGTGAACTAGGGACATAGTGTGTGAACTGGGGACATAGTGTGTGAACTGGGGACATAGTGTGTGAACTAGGGACATAGTGTGTGAACTAGGGACATAGTGTGTGAACTGGGGACATAGTGTGTGAACTGGGGACATAGTGTGTGAACTGGGGACATAGTGTGTGAACTGGGGACAAAGTGTGTGAACTGGGGACATAGTGTGTGAACTGGGGACATAGTGTGTGAACTAGGGGACATAGTGTGTGAACTAGGGGACATAGTGTGTGAACTGGGGACATAGTGTGTGAACTAGGGGACATAGTGTGTGAACTGGGGACATAGTGTTTGAACCGGGGAAATAGTGTATGAACTGGGGACATAGTGTGTGAAGTAAGCTTCTGATGTCATTTAAATGGCACTTGCGTTTTTTTTTTACTTTAATGCTGGCTGGTATATGTAATTTATTGTTTACTGTGTTTGTCGTTCTCCATGTTTTCTATTACACACAACAGTATTGTTTGGTCGTTCTACATGTTTCTGCACCACACAACAGTACTGTTTTAGTCATTCTCCATGTTTCTACCCCACACAGCAGTACTGGTTTAGTCGTTCTCCATGTTTCTGTCCCACACACCATTACCGTTAAGGTCGTTCTGTGCTTTCTGCTCCACAAAACAGTGCTGTTTTAATCTTGTTTCATATTAACATTGTTTTCTTGATTGATTTCCCAGGTCAGAGATAGTGCGGGTGCCATCAAGTGATCTCCGACTACAGAGCGACCATCACGTGATCTACCGACTACCGAGCGACATCGCCATGAACAGGAGATTAATTCTGCTGCTGCTGGTGGTGGCCGTGCTGGGAGTTCAGGGCAACAAGAAAAGCCAGAATAACCGCAGTAAGTCGAGCACACACTCTGAATGTCCTTAACTCAATTGGAGGCACATCTACCCCGACATCCAACCTAATACTTCAGAAGGCAGAAACAAATCTAAAGCCTCCTCGTCTCTGTTTTTGCACAGTCTAGACATCATGTCTAGACTCATTTTCCTCTTTTAGTTATGAGTGCCAGAAAAATGTCCCGGGTAGTAAAAGCGGCCGTGATGGTGCTGACCCACATCACCTAGCAAGTGCCGATTGATTGAAAAAAGTATGAGCCTGCCACCATATGTTCGATGCACCAGGGGCGTCAAACATGGTTTCTAACTGCATACAAATTTAGTTCTTGCACAGCCGGCTCACCTGTAAGCATGGAGAGGTGATAGAAAGCTCTGCAACACAGTCGTCTTAGTGACAGCACGTGGGTACAGACCCCAGACAAACTCCTGTATCGAGGTCGTTAGCGCTAGGAAAGTTATTGGGGGTGGGGGAACGGGGGGGGGGGGATGGGAGGGGGATGGGAGGGGGGATGGGGGGGGGGCTTCAGAGACAGTAGAGGTATAAATTTTATGGGGGTTGGGGTGGAGGAAAGCAAGGGGGGGGGGTGGGGGTGTTGGGTGCAAGTTGTTTTCTTGGCTCAGACTAATTTAACTTTGGTGCATGCGACTTGTCACTTTAAACTGGATATCCAGCAGAACACTCACTAACAAACTGGATTTCCAGCAGAACACTCATTAGATAACTGGTTATCCAGCACAACATTTACTAGCAAACTGGATATCCAACAGAACATTTACTAGCAAACTGGATATCCAACAGAACATTTACTAGCAAACTGGATATCCAACAGAACACTCACTAGATAACTGGTTATCCAGCAGAACATTCATTAGCAAAACAAAATAGTGTTACTGCATTATACGTGTGCTATATTGGGTCGTTCTAATGGGCTAATGGTGGTCATGATGACTGCGTCATTTCCTAGAGCATACACGCTTCCCCAAGATCTGTGTGCAGATCCTCATTAGCAGATCCAGGAAGCAATCTCTAACGCGAGTTATTAGTTCATCTGAGGTAATAACTAACTCCAGTGGTATTTCTGTTCATGATTTTTTTTATTTTGCAACTATTTTTTGTCGTCTGGATATGGGAAAATCTATTAACTTTATGTCGTTATGCAGTACATAATTCGCATTGTCTGTGCTTAGTACATGTCTAAACATATATATGAAAATATGGGCAGAACAATCCACGCCCCCCCCCCTCTCAACGACGGGCTGCAGAATATTTCACATACACACACACGCACACACACACACACACACACACACACACACACACACACACACACACTAACAAACTCGCCTGCAGAACATTTCACAATATCACCACCCTCTCCTTTTAGCAGGATCTGACACACATAAGCTTGCAAGTAGGATAGTTCACACATACCCCCCACCCCCACCTACTATTTTAACAGGACAGTTCACACATACACAACCTCCTGCTAACCCTCAAACCAGTGGGACACTTCAGACATAACCTCCCCCATCCTGATAGATTTTTTAGACATATTCCTATGTTAGTACATATATCACCCACTCCTCCCCCTCCCTTTCTACCCATGGAACTTTTCACATAGTTTACTCATCTCCCCCCCCCCCCCCCCCGCACACCCCACCCCTCCCCGCATCCTTTGTTTTTCCTTCTTTACCCAGCAGTCGGACATTTCACACCTACCTCCGCTAAAAGGAATCTAACGATGCAAAATCTGCACGGGTCTTGGAGCATGCCAGGAAATCGTGTTTAGATAAGCACAAAAATCACATCCACACCAAAACATGTTGCAAAAACTAATTGCAGCCACTAAAATGACCAACATTCAAATCTTTCCTGGTAATTATTAACTATGTTTATTATTGGCACATTTTTGTGTAGGGGGAAAGCCGCAGAAAAAAGACATTACTAATCACATGAGCAGTTCTGTTCCAAATTTCTGTGAGTAGCGCAAATATCTACACAATAATTTGTCTGAAGTTTTCCCTGAGAATATCACGCTGTAGGATTAGCTGGTCTCTGTATAAACACTTTAAAAAAATAGGAATCTTTACTGTCGAAGCATGAAAACCATTAAGTAAATACGGCAAAATGCTTCTAATTACAGAGAGGATGTCGCAATTTTGAATTTAAACTCTCGACAACTCTTGCTTTATCTTAGATCCCACTTACTAAGAAGCTTAGAAATTCTTAGAATTGGCTTCCCTTGTTAAAAAGAGATGGCCTATAGTTTTCTCTCTGCCATGTTGGCGCAATTTTTTTTAAACCTTAATTATTTCATTCGTCAGTCAACCAGAATTTGCAATATTTCATTGTTTGCCTGCCGTATATTACAGTGTTGCCGAGACAATATTTTACTGTTTGTGTGTTCTTGTGTTACAATGTTGTTCAGAGCATCATTCATTGTTTGTCCGTGCTTATGTTGCAATGCTGTCCAGAACAATCTTTCATTGTTTGTCTCCGCTACGGTCACATAATACTAGTGTCAGGTGACTTTGTTAGGGCTTCCCTTAATGAACCAAAAGACACATACTTCAGGGGTTGGCAACTCAAAACTTCTGGGTTAAAGATACAAGCTGATTTTGAACATCACAGATAACAGACCGTTGTCGTCTCATGGAGCCACTGGCATTATTGCATGGACAAGATTGAGTTGTTTGCTCAGGATCCCTTACACCGGAAGGTGGATGTGGGTTACACTTGACAGGTGTTAGGATACTGATCGTTGACTTGGCGCCCAGATTTAGCAATCAACAAACACTATACCATGTTTACCACCCATCCATCTGTCTATAGTATTTTGACTCCGATGTATGTGCTAGGCTTTAACAGACCACTAAGGTCTGTACCAACCCCAGGATCACCATTGACAGCTTTGAGGTTAGAAAGAAACGAAGATCTGTCTAATGCTGCTCTCTGGTGTCAGCGATAGTCTGCATATGCCAGAATACAGACGGATAACACCGTTTTCTTTTTATAATAGGATACTTATACTCACACAGTATACAACGAATACAAGAATATAGATGTACCGAAAGCATACTTGCAACACGAACACGAGAACCCGATCTTACTTTCCCTCCTACAATGTCCCTTTTAAATTTGTGGGCAGGGCGGACACCTGTACTAGAATTAGCCTGACCCCATCTGATACAAATCAGTAAAGTCTGACCTGACCTGTTCACTCTCAATAGTTAAAGGGTGCCTAAATATATATATATATATATATATATATATATATATATATATATATATATATATATATATATATATATATATAAATCAAATGTGAACAAATCATTATTATAAAATGGACATGTAATGTATAAGCTGTCTATAACCCATTAAAGGAGTAAGAGGTGATATAATTCCTCGGTCTGAAGGGGGACGCTATGTTTGGCGCTCTCGAACAGTTTAAATGGATTGACAGTCAGGTCCCGCTGCTTCACATAGCCACTTCTGTTCTACACTCAACATCCGGGCCAAATGTTTCGGTACTAATAGTCTATAATGTACTTACCATGCTCATTGACGTTTCCATGCGAATCGGTGATTGAAACGGAGTAGGCAGATAGACAGAAAAGGCGGCAAACCGTCTGCTTATTCTGGAAGCTCGGTCAAGAATTAGTCCATATCTAAGCATCACCTCGGCTATAGACGGGAGGGGATTCATCGGCATCCAAGTTAGGCCAATGGAATTTAGCTTCACGATAAATCAATCGCCCACCTATATGGCTGAATTTAAATATATGTCTTTCCCAAGAGGATTAGGGTATAACGTCAGCTAGAGCTGGTCGTGGCTTAACCCGTCATCTTGACATAAGTACAAAAGAAGGAGTATCTGCCTATGGAGGAAAGTCCAAGATCTGAAAATGCCTCATTAACATAGAGGTGTACAAGTTGTGGGCAGGTCTATGATCAGAGGGGTGTGGGCTGTCGTGTGACAATTACAATGTTGTCTGGACATATTTTTTCCAATCTGTTTTTGTGTTGCAATGTTGTCCAAACAAGCGTTTACTGTTTGTGATTTTTTTCAAAACAACGTTGTCTAGACAATCTTTCATTGCTTGTCTTGCAAAATTGTCTGGACAGTCTTTGATTTTTTGTGTGTCTTTTGTTACATTATTGTCCAGACAGTCTTTCATTGTTTGTCCTGCCATAATGTCTAGACAATCTGTCATTATTTGTCTGTGCTAGAATGTTGTCTACACAATCTTTCATTGCTCGTCTGGGGTACAATGTTGTCTAGACAATCTGCCATTGTTTGTGTTGCAATGTTGTCAGGACAATATGTTATTGTTTATCTGTGCTACCATGTTGTCTAAACTATCTTTTATTGTTTGTTTGTGCTACAGTGTTGTCCAGAAATTCTTTCATTGTTTGTCTGTGTGATATGTTGTCTGAAAAATCTTTTATTTTTTCTTTTTGCTCAGGTTGCAATGTTGTCTCGAGAATAGTTTTCAGTACAAGCTTTTTAACAATTTACCCGTTCTCTCCCACACTGTGTCTATTTGATTACAAGGAGCAAACATGGACATATTCTCTCTCTCTCTCTCTCTCTCTCTCTCTCTCTCTCTCTCTCTCTCTCTCTCTCTCTGTGTCTATCTCACTCTCTCTCTCACACATACAAACATTCACACACATTCTAACAAGAACACACTCACACAAATTCTCACAAGCAGACATGCACACGCAGACACGCACACACACACACACACACACACAAGGAGCTGACGATGTCGCAGAATAATGAAATGTTTAACTGGCATGTAGACAAGACATGGAACAAAAACGTGAGCAAACGTCCGGAGACAGGACTCAGCGATGATTGATTGAAGCTTTACGTTCTGGAACATGAATGGCAGAACAGGACTAGAGACAAACTGCAGCAAAAGAAGATTTTGTGGGCTAAAAAAAAAAGTTGGCTTGTTCATATTTATTATTGATTTTTACTTGTTTATAATAATAATAGCATCTTATTACTAAATTAGTGGCAAACTACCCACACCTCCTATTAATCAGATATTTTTGATAGGCTGTCATTTTGGGTAAGGGTCTAGTCTACAATTACAAATAATTCCAGCTGTAAAATATTGTGAAAAATGTGAGTGTCGGGGAAAAATGATCTGCAGTATGTTATGCCTACGTCTGTACGTCTTTCTTGTTTTATAAGTGAAAATTAAAACACACACACACACATACATACGCACGCACACACACACAGACACACACACACAGACACACACACATACAGCTGGCACACACACAGCTGGCAAACAGCCGAGTTTTGATTAGATCATTTATTGAGGATGACCTCTCTCTCTCTCTCTCTCTCTCTCTCTCTCTCTCTCTCTCTCTCTCTCTCTCTCTCTCTCTCTCTGTCTCTCTCTCTTTTTCGTACTTCTACCTCGTCTTTCTTTCATTTCTCTTTCCCTGTCTCCCACTGCCTCTGTCTTCTCTCTCTCCGTCACTTTATCATGTTGTTTCTCTTGTTTCTCCTGTCTTTCTCTCTTATATCCCTCTCTGTCTCCCAGGTCTCTCTCCTGTATTTCTGTGACTGTTTGCGCGTCTGTCTGTGTCCCTGGGTGTGTGTGTGTGTGTGTCCCTGGGGTGTGTGTGTGTGTATCTACGTGTCTATGTGTCTGTGTGTATGTGTCTGCGTATGTGTGTTTGAGTGTGTCTACGTGTACGTATCTATGTATTTGTACTAGCGTGTGTCTGTATTGTATATGTGTCTGCGTATGTGTGCTTGTGTTTGTGTGTGCCTGCGTATGTGTGCTAGTATGTGTGTGTGTTCCTGCGTGTGTGACTGTATGAGTGTCTGTATGTGTGTGTGTGCGTTCATGTCTGTGTGTATATGTCTGTGTGTGTATGTCTGTGTCTGTTTGTGCCTGTGTGTCTTCTTGTGTGTGTCCGCTTATGTTTGTGTGTCTGTGCGTGTGCGTCGGCGTGTGTATTTATGTGTCTGTGTGTGTGTCTGCGTGTGTTTCTGCATGCGTGTGTCTGTGTGTGTGGCTGTCTGTGTCTTAGTTTGTGTGTGTCTGCGTGTGTGCTTGTATATGCGTGTACGTGTCTGTGTGTGTAAGCGCGAGTGTGTGTGTCTGTATGTGTGTCTAAGTGCGTGTGTCTGCGTGTGTGTCTGCGAGTGTGCCTGCCTGTGTGCGTGCGTGTGTTTATGTAAGTCTGTGTATTTATTTGTGTGTCTGAGCGTGTCTGTTAGAGCCTGTATGTGTCTGAAAATGTCTGTATGTGTGTGTGTGTCTTTGTGTGTATATATGTATGTAGGCATGTATGTGTGTGGCATATGTGTGTGTGTATGTAATATGTATCTATGTGTGAATGTATGCTGATATGTATTTATGTGTGTGGGTGTGTATGCATGTGTGTGTAAATGTGAGTGGGCGTGTGCATGTAAGTGTGTGTGCATGAATTTTACCACCGATGCTTTTGTGTTTATTATTGATATTCATTATATGCATATTATTATATGAACATAAAATGCTTTATAGATAAACTACAATTGCTGTGTGAAAGACGGGTGTTTGGAAAGGCCTATTGTAAGGCTGGCCTGCGTGCCCAATTTGTGACCCTTTAAAAAAAAGTTTGCTCGTTCGAACTCAATTCTTTCTCACTGTCTCTCAACGGTCCCTCTCTGTTTTCTGTTTCCTGTCGCTCTCCTGTTTGTTTCCTGTGTCTCCGCCGTCTGTCTCTCTTTTTTCTAATCTCTCTCTCTCTCTCTCTCTCTCTCTCTCTCTCTCTCTCTCTCTCTCTCTCTCTCTCTCTCTTTTCTCTCTCTCTCTTACTTTGGAACTTGAATGGATGAGAAACAAATGAAGTGGTTGAAACACATTGTGTATGACGTTAAATAAGACCTCGTTTTTTTTCTTTAAAGTTTGTGGATAATCAAACATGTGCACTCAGTCAACGCAACCACCATACAGTCATGTCAACCATCTAACTCATCACGAACAACCATCAGCAACCGCCCCATCCCACCCCCCCCCCCCACCCAGTATGATTAACAGCCAGTGCGAGCCAAGGACCACAGACAGAAAGACAGCACTACCCTGGCATTGATTCCAGGCCAACCCTGTCTTCTAAAAGCATCATCTTGACTTATTTAGATAACCCACCCCTCCCCACCTCCCCCCCCCCCCCCCCCAAAAAAAAAACCTCATAAGTTTCTAAATCTGTAGACAGGAAAGATCATAATTAAAAAGAAAATAGGAATTAAAACAGAAAATCTAGAGGTCTAAAGCTCTAGAGACGATTCATGTATGTTTGTATGACAACAATACATGCTATAAATGGTTCTCTTGAGGGAATAATTTATGTTGAATTGAGTTTGGCTGGACAAGAGTCTAGTTGGCTTTCTCTGTTACCTATATATCCTAAGGTTAACGTACAGGGACGATTCAGAAATAAATAATGCTGAGAAGGGAAATGTGAACACCAATACTTTATTTCCTAACAACCACTGTCAGACAAGATACATCCCATTGACGAAATCCGTTTCAGTTTTACAGCTGATGTTCAAACTGTAAAGTAAATCAAATGTTTTATAGCTCCAAATGACGTGAATGCTCCGCCATGGAGACCGTCAGACAGTATATAGAGAAATAGTGGTGTAGTAGTGGGAGCATTCACTTACTGACACAATGGTCTGGAGTTCAAACACAGCCACTTAACACCATGGTGTGTTTTTTCCCCAATCAACACAGGTCTCGATAAACTGAACCTTATGTACCCAGAAATGGAGTTTGTCACCTCTATTACTAACACTCAGACTTATATTTAAACTTTTGAAATTTGGTTGTCCGTTCTTTGACTGTTGCGAGAGTGGATAATAATCGGTCTTGTTTTGTGACTTCCCCAGAAGTTGGCCTAGACTGGAACCCCTCCTCCATGCCCGCCATGAACACCAGGCTGGTGTCATTCAACAGTGGTAAAGGCAAAGAGCTTAACCTGGACTGCAGAGTTAAAGCTCATCCCAAAGCTAGCATCGCGTGGTTCAAAGATGGAGCTCAGATCCAGGAAAGCGACAGTATAGAGGTCAGTTATTGACCATCGTATGTAATCAGGTAGCGATTTAGCTGGTCATACTTACTGCATTTATGGCCAATTAAATCAGGAAGTTACACCATTACAGTGAAGCAGGCGTAGAATGTGTGTGTAAATACTTAGCTACAACATGTTAGAAAGTTACAGTAACTCAGTGGTAAATATGTTTACCTGCCAGCCAAGATCTCTCAGTTCAAATCCTCATGCAGGAAGTTATTTTTTTTAATCACCTAACTACTGTTGACTTAATCCAACCTAAAATAGCTACCAGGAAATGATATACTGGGAAGTAAATGAGATCGGCATCATCCTATCACCACTGACTGGTCTCACCGAATGTCGACTAATCGTATCGAATATCGACATGTCTTATGGAATGTCGACTGGTCTATAAATATTTGAGGTTACCACATAAGCCCAACAGGCCTGATGGTATAGAAGGTTTGTCTACTTTGTACTGGATCAGCTGTTGAAGTTTTTTCACTGACATAATTCTTTTGGAACCTCTAATGAGTATCTTGTCTGTTTTTGAAGCAACTTGTACAAACTTTTGATGTAAGCAAATGTCAAAGACTAATTTATTAAGTTGCTTTTGGTACTGACTGTCAAATAACTGAGATGTTTAATTTGATCGAAACTAAATTCTGGAAACAAAACCAAAGAATGAAGCTGCTATGCTCATGAATACCCTTAACAGGAGCTGTTTAGTTTGGTTTAGAACTGGTATTTTCATGCTGTTGTCTTTCATCCCATCATAGTCCCATAACAGTTGGCTAACTGAGCCAACAGCTGATGTAGACTGTGATCAACTAATTCCACTTCTGTCAGACTCCAGTTTAGCAGTCAACATGGTGTATCTTGGGCCATATTTGAACCGTGGCAGAAACCATTCCTCTACGTGTGACCATTTCCGCATTAGCCACTTGGAGAGGACATTGCATGGATGGATATCGTCTGCACCACGACTAGGTGGGACTGGCTGGTGTGATCACAGGACATCAGTAGGCTACTAGCTGTCACTTCTCACCTTCCTGTAAGAGCTAGCTACCCCCAGCACTGCTAAATGAAGTGCCAGACATGACCACACCTTAGATATCATGTCTTCTTTAGTCACATTCATATTCTTTCCCTGCTCTTGCTTTTTTCATCATCACTGCAGTCTAGACTATGGTTCCAATCATGAAACACCTAGCTTTAGTGAGTTACAAGTTATGGAGCTGTGATATTTTGAAACAGTAAAGTTCCAAACCTGTGCCATCACTATCATTAACTTCCATTATTGTCTTTGGGCATTGTGGGAAGGAATATTTTGTAGTACTCTACTTGGGATGTAGCATTAGCTGTTGTCATTCAGCAGCAAGTTGTGCGTGTAACAGCTGCACTCACCTTGGACACTTTGCCATTGTAAAGTACAAATACAGTATGTTACTTCTTAATATCAGTGTTACTGTTTATTTCAAATACGCCACTCAGTTCACGTCTCGTTGAGCACATAATCTTCATCAGGTGCCTTGCCGACTGGCGTGGGCGATTATGCCTCTCCACATTTTGCGATTTCCTGCAGCAAGTATCAGTTCATGTGATGACACACCTCCATGCCATGCAACAAGACTGTCAAGAATCTTCTCTCGTTGTCTTCCTCTATCCCTCTTTCCACAGATCTTTCCTGAGGTCACAACAATTTCCATTTTCCCTCTTTTCATAACATGGCCAAAAAATGATGACTGTCTCCTTCTAATGTCTGTGATAAGTTGTCTTAGGGCTCCCGCATCTTTCAAAACTTCTTGGCTGCTCTCTTTGGCTCTCCAGGTTTATTAAGCATTCTTCTATAAAACCACATCTCTAAGGTCTCAAGAAGTCGTTTGTCCTGCTTACCGACTGTCCAGGACTCACAGTCATATGTCAAAAATTGATGTATGTAGCAAGCAAGAATTCTTTTTCTAACCTTTAATGACAGAGAGATATTGCAAAGATAACATAACACTTGTTAAGAGTATTAGCATAGCCAAAAGTAAGCTTGCTGCATGTTTACGCTTTTCATGCAGAACCTGTAATGTGTCAAAGTTACTGGTTACTAGTACCAAATTCACAATGCGAATGATACTCTCAACAGTAAAGTGATGTGGAGGAAAATATCACGTGATACCCCTTGCAGGGTAAGCGTTACCTGCTAGCTCTTACACATGCAAACTGATCCAGCCTCACCACTGTGGTCATTGCATCTGGATCTACAGTGTCTTTAAGGTCATCAATCCATCGTCTCACTGTGTGTCTTTTTGTTCTTACATCGGATCTGTTTAGGTATAGTGCCTGTATTGTTTAAAGATGAACAAACCATACAACATTCTGCTTCCCAATGAATTTCGTGCAAGGTTTTGTTGCAACAATATCTGATATCATTTTTCATTCGATGTTGTATCAATGTCAGTCTAGATAAGTAAACCAATGACATTTCTTCCCTGATATTTTCAGATGAAGAAGAAGTTTAACCTGGTTCTGAAATCCCTGAGCAGTGACATGAACGGCAACTACACCTGTGTGGTCAGTAACAAACACGGTCAGTTGGACTGGACATTCCATGTTGATGTTCCAGGTGAGGATACTTATACAGGAAATGTATTTCTTTACAGAAGTATCATCTCGCTGTATCGTCTTGCTGTAGCAAATTCTACTTGTAGTCGCTCTACTACCACTTAAACTCAAAAAAGTTTACACGCAAGTTAAGACACAGACAGCACGTTACAATGTTAACCCTTTAAGAGAAAAAGACATTGCCACTAAATTTATAGTAGAACTCAAAAATAGATTCCAAACCCTATCAAGTGACCCAGAAACTCCAACTACAATCAGCATTCAAGACAGATGGAACCAGATCAAAGAAACATACAAATCAACTAGCAATAAAATATTAGGAACCAGGAAACAACACCACAAAGAATGGATAAGTAGTGAAACCATGGACTATATTGCCAAGCGAAAAAGAATAAAGAGCCTCATAAATCACACTAAATCAGAACTTCAGAAAGACAAACTAATGTTAGAATATAGGGAACTAAATAAAATTACCAAGAAAAGTGCCAGAGCTGACAAGAGAAGATTTATGGAAAATCTTGCAGAAACAGCAGAAAATGCTGCTAAAGCACATGATCTACAAACCCTACACAAAATTACCCAGCAAATTTGCAGAAACAAATATCACAGCATACCCATCAGAGATAACCAAGGCAGACTGCTCACCACAGAACAAAAACAAGACATGCAGTGGACTAAACACTTCTCCGACCTCTTGAACAGACCTGATCCTGAAAATCCCCCAGAAATTCAACCAGCCTCTCAGGACATTGACATTATTACTGAACCACCAAGCAAACAAGAAATCCTTAAAGCTATCCACACTTTAAAGAACAACAAAGCACCAGGCAAAGACGAACTGCCAGCAGAACTTCTCAAAGTAGATCCTAACACAACTGCTAGCATTCTAGAACCATTGTTCAAGGATATTTAGGAAAAAGAAGTGTTGCCTGATGACTGGACTGAAGGAACAATAGTCAAAATCCCCAAAAAAGGAGACTTAACAGACTGCAATAATTGGAGGGGAATTACTCTACTCTCAGTACTAAGCAAAATATTTTGTAAAATCATCATAACGCGGCTTGAAAAAGGAGTAGATAAATGCCTACAATTGGAACAAGCAGGATTCAGAAAGGGCAGAGGAACAACTGAGCACATCTTCGCCATATAGAACATTTTTAGAACAATGCAACGAATGGCAGAGAAGTATATATATTAATTTTATGGACTTTGAAAAAGCTTTTGACAGCGTCCATAGAGACGGTCTGTGGAAAATTTTACGACATTATGGAATTCCAGAAAAAATAGTCAACATAATTGCTCTCTTCTATAAAGACTTTTCCTGCAGTATAAAAAATTACAATACATCTTTCCCAGTAAAGACGGGTGTAAGACAGGGATGTGTTATGCCATCTCTCCTCTTCAACCTTGTGATTGATTGGACACTAAAGAACACAGTAGACAGGACATTAAGAGGCATACGATGGACTCCATTCACCATGCTTGAGGACCTTGATTTTGCAGATGATATAGCACTCCTATCACATAAACATGAACATATACAAGAGAAAAGTAACAGACTAAACTGCACAGCAGAAATGGTGGGACTGAGAATAAATACAAAGAAAACTAAGATCATGACAAACAGTCCAAACCAACAACCAGTGACCATAAGTAACCAATTACTTGAAAATGTAGAACATATCACGTATCTTGGCAGTGTGGTGTCCTTACTGGGAGGGACAGAGGAAGACATACAGTCACGTCTGAACAAAGCTAGAGCTGCTTTTGGAAGGATGAGGCAAATCTGGAAATCCAACAATTACTGCAGAGGAACGAAACTCTGACTCTACAAGAGCATCATTTTGCCAGTTCTTCTTTATGGAGCGGAATGCTGGAGAATGACCAAAAAGGATGCACACAAGCTGTCCACCTTCCACCACACATGTCTACGTAGAATTATCAAATTTTCTGGCCAGATACAATCTCAAACACTAAACTACTTCAAGCCACAAACCAAGAAACTTTAGACGGTATGATTACCAAGAGAAGATGGAAATGGCTTGGCCACGTTATGAGAAGGACTTCTGATATACCTGCCAAAACAGCTCTAACATGGACACCAGAGGGAAAGAGAAAACAGGGGCGCCCAAAAACAACATGGAGACGAACGATGGAAAGTGACCTGAGTGCAGCATCTTTGACACGGAAAACTGCATTGAAGATTGCACAGGACAGGAAAGCATGAAAGTCCGCTCTGAAGCCTCATGTGCCACTAGGCATAACGAGAACTGATGCTGTAGCAAATTCTTCATGGTTGGATTTAGACTTGAGGATGCCTAAAGATGTACAAGATATTTACATCGCCATTTGGCACATTGGACAGATAATTCTAGACTTGTATTTTAAATGCCACCACATATTTGATGACTGATAAGGTCAACATCACACAGCAGCCTTTACTTCCCATCAATTTTCCTGGTGCCCGTTTAGACCAGGTCAAGCTGGGAGCTAAAGTCTGTAGTGAAAATAAATTCGCCTTATTGTGGATTTGAACTAATGACCTTTAGGTCGGGAGATAAACATTCTGACACTGTGCTACTGTGGATCTTTGGTAGATTGCTGACAATCCATGCATTGTCAAGTCTATGTCGAACAGTCTCCACAAGTACTGTGGTAGAATGCTGACAATTCATGGATTGTCAAGTCTATGTTGAACAGTCTCTATAAGTACTGTGGTAGAATGCTGTCAATCATGGATTGTCAAGTCTATGTCGAACAGTCTCCACAAGTACTGTGGTAGAATGCTGTCAATCATGTATTGTCAAGTCTATGTCGAACAGTCTCCCCAAGTACTGTGGTAGAATGCTGACAATCATGGATTGTCAAGTCTATGTCGAACAGTCTCCACAAGTACTGTGGTAGAATGCTGACAATCATGGATTGTCAAGTCTATGTCGAACAGTCTCAATAAGTACTGTGGTAGAAGGCTGACAATCATGGATTGTCAAGTCTATGTTGAACAGTCTCCACAAGTACTGTGGTAGAATTCTGTCAATCATGGAATATCAAGTCTATGTCGAACAGTCTCCACAAGTACTGTGGTAGAATGCTGTCAATCATGGATTGTCAAGTCTATGTCGAATAGTCTCCACAAGTACTGTGGTAGAATGCTGACAATCATGGATGTCAAGTCTATGTCGAACAGTCTCAATAAGTACTGTGGTAGAAGGCTGACAATCATGGATTGTCAAGTCTATGTTGAACAGTCTTCACAAGTACTGTGGTAGAATTCTGTCAATCATGGATTGTCAAGTCTATGTCGAACAGTCTCTATAAGCACTTTGCGAGGGAAACTGATAAAGACAGATAGTTCCTTCATTTGCACAAGAGAGCCACCATTTTGGAATCATTTGAGAAAAGTAAGTGTGCAGAATCTTGTGAAAACAAGAAACTTTGAGAAACAAGTGACAGCAGGACAGAATGCTAAAAGGGTAAACAGGCAATCATAATTTTCCACATAACAGGCACACAGGCAAAATACAGCAAGGTGACTCATCTGGACAAAAGATGTCACACAGAAGTCAAGAATAACACATCCACAAGGGAATACAGACAAGGAAGAGTGGACAATGTATCTGGTTAGGGTCACCAAACCCATTAGCCTGACACACTTACCACTATCTTAGCCAAACACATTGCACACACACACAAATAACCAGATCACAAATATAACCTGCCAGCAGCAGGTTGAACATGTTCGACTTATTTATCCTTCTAAACTGAACATGGCACATGATAGTGATAAGATGCAGAGGTATCTATCTGTAAACTTGTTCAGAAAAGATTAAAAAAATATATGTTCTTTGAGTCATTCCCACCCCTTTTTAGTCATCATGATTATCATCATCACCACCACAACCATCATCATCATCATCCTCACCACTGCTGTCACCTTCATCATCATCATTCTCGCATCACCATCATCATCAGTATGATAATAATGTTAGGCAATGCTAACTGTGTATACTTATATCTGAAGTGAAAATCTGGCCATTAGAGATCCAGGGACCACAAAACATCACCCAGCCTCGGGGATCAAGTGCCACCTTCACATGTATGGTTCTTAATGACCCCAACGCCACCATCAGATGGCAGAAGGTTTTTAAAATGAAAACTATGGATGACAATGGGCCACTACCTGCGGTAAGTTCAGTAACCCAGTCATTATGTAATATCCTTCACAAGAGGTTTATGTTTGTGTTTCTATTTCTTTTTCCATGTTTAAATTCATTCAAATTTTTGCTTTTTCTCTGTTGAAGCTGTTAAAAAGTGTGTGTGTATGAGTCTATGTGTGTGTGTTTTTGTGTGTGTGGTGCTCACATGCACATGCACGCACACTGATTCTGACATATGTGCATGCACACACACACACACACACACACACATGCATGCACATGTCATTGCGCATACACACATGCACTCTCACACGCATGCACGCACATACACAAACACATAGAGAGAGAGAACGAACGAACGAACGAATGAACAAACAAACAAACAAACGAACGAATGAATGAACAAACGAACTTTATGTTCAAAGGATTACAAATTAGGCACGCAGGCCTGTCTTACATTTGGCCCTTCCAAACTCCCATCTTTCACACAGCAGTTGTCTATAAAACATGTTTTATGTTCATGTAATAATATGCACATTATGAATATCAAGTCAAAAACAAAAGCATGGGTGGTAAAATACACACACCCACATACACACTCAAACCCATTCACTCACTTACACACACACACATAGGCACCCGATACACACAGAGAGACAGACAGACAGACAGACATGTCTGTGTATCATGTCTTGATAAAGCTAGATGAGTAAACAGAACAATCAAAAAGCAAGAGGCTTTCATTGTTACACGTCTGGAGGTTTAGAAGTTAACTGCTGCAAGTAACAGCTAGGATATGAAATACTGTGAATGGGAAGAACGTGAAGTAAAAATATGCCTCAGACTGAGGGATTACAGAAAAACCAGGGATGCGGCTATTCGACATAGTTTACTTGGGAACCAAAATGTTGGAAATGTGGATCTTCAAGGGCCAGGGCCCCAGCATTGAAAGATTATTATTACAATACAAACTGGCAATGAGGCTCTGGTCACTTGCTAGACCTTGGCAGGCCAGATTTAGTGTGCAGACGGCCAACTAAATAGCCTTGATCTGGCACATAGACGCCAGGCAGAACTGCTTAGTCATTTACTTGCTTACTTGGTCACTCCTCTTTTACTAGGAGCGAGAATGCCAGACTTCTCTGCCAGCAGTTTTTTTTCTGGCTTTGTTCCGTTTCAGTCCTATGTTAGTCAGGGACTTCTCCATCTGCATCCAGGGACCCCATTATGGGGAAAACAAGAATAGACCCCCTGCCTACAGGAAAGCATATCCTAGCAGATGCCTACTTTGGAGCTTCCTTCAGCATCGGAGTACATCTGCCTGAGAGGCAAGGTATCAACAATCTGCACACTATTGAGTCAAATTTGTAAAACATATGTGCATGCAACACTCAGATTCTGAAACAGGACTAGAGTCCAGAAGTTGATGAACACCCATAACTTTCTGCCGGAGTTTACAGCTAGTAAATGTGAAGAAGAAGAAGAAGCAATCGGGGACTGTCAGATGTTGTCTTCCCAGGGAACCATGGGTTATCTTTGTGGTCTGGTTTCCTTGTTCTTGCCTCCCATGCCTGCCGTGGTGGTCCATTCTTGATTATTAATTGATCAAGACAATCATCACAGCGCTCTACTCTGATCAGTAGGTGCTACGATCTCCTCCTCAGCAGCTTCACAAATGTAAAATGACTGACCAGGCCCCTCCTGTTGGCTGATCAAAGACTGTGAGTGTTTAGTGTAATATTCTTGTCTGGCAGCTCCATATCTACATGGCCAGGTATGCTGTCATGCTTAAAGCTGTAATAGCTATGCATTTCTTGCAATGTTGCAGAAGTTACAGTAACAATGATATGACTATTTCAACTGTCAGTGATTAAAGAGATTGAAGGAACCATCAGGTCATACACATATACTATAAGAGATTGATGTCAATAAGAAAATGGCAGTACGTCGTGTTATCAGAAATACATGATTAAGTGCATACTGAAGCAGGCTTTTTTACTTTTTTTCTGGCGGTAGGCAAATGTAAGCAAAAACTGCACCCTTTTTTTATTTAATTCATCAATTTTCAGCACTGCAAATCAGACTCTTTGGGATGAGTACTGGCATTTTTATTTTATTTTTTAGAAACATAACCTTGTAAATACAAATAAAGCGTCTAAAAAGTACTACACTATCACTGCTGTCTGTGGGTACCACTTTTTGTGTGTATTGAGGCTGTGTAGACAGGGTGCTTGTGAACCTGAGCTTTTAACATCACCGACTGCACAGGTTAGGATGTTTAATTTTGCTATGACCTTGTAAAAAACCACGTTTATGTTTTTATTTATTTATTTAACTCTTTTCAGTTTTTGCCTGTAAGTGGCAACCCTCATTTACTGACACTGAATAACATCCAAGCAGAGGATGAAGGGGAGTACCGATGTATGGCCGGAAATGTCTGGGGCCTCAGGTACATTTCTGCCTGGCTGACTGTCCAAGAGCCTGCTCCTACACCTCAAGGTCAGTGGGGTTTGATATCATTGAGTTTTCAGATGTCTTCCACTCTTCTGTATTATTCATGTGGTCAGCTTCCCAGTGTAGGGTTCCAGGGCCACACTGTGGAGAAAACAAGAATAGACCTATAGTCTCCACACATAGCATGTCACAGGAGTCAACAAATTGGGGGACTTTCTTCATAGTCTGTGTACCTCGGCCTGGGATGCAAGAAAGCAACACTCTGCATACAACTAAGACAGATCTGTGAAATTGATGTGCAAGCAGCCCTCAGGTTCTGGAACAAGACTAAAGTTCAAAGGTGGCCGAACAACCAGAAATTTCCACTGGAGTTTATAGCTGGTGACCACAAAGAAGAAGATATGGTCAATCAAATACCAGATAGCTAGAGCAAGAAGAAATGGGGCAGAGTAGGGTTAATATACCCCTGCATGAGAGACAAGGAATCACCCAGATTCTGAGCTGAGTGATTGGTGTGACACTGTGAGCTGTGAATTTTATGTTGAATATTTAGGTGGGTTTTTTTTCTGTGCCCATTGCAGTTTTGTGTTGTGAAGTGCACTGAAAATGGTGGATGGATGAATATGTTTGGACCCTCATGTGCTTTATTTATACAGTTTCTTGTTTACAATGCTGGCTTCTCATGATTGGCTGCTTCCATCAACAATGAACTGCAGTTCTGGTTAAAGAGGGTGGGGGTGTGTTAACTCTTTGAGTCCCAAGAAACATATCATACGTTCATAGATTCCAACCTAGAGGCCCAATGAATGCAAGATGCGCCTATTTTACCTCTCTTTTGACTACCATTTAGGCCTCTGATGCTAAACCCCCTTGGGACTCAAAGAGTTAATGGTGGCACATCTGGCTGCTGCCTTATGTATTTTCTTTACATGTAAAACTTCTAGATTTTGCTGGGACTGATCTTTTTTTCACTGCACTTAAAATAGGACAGGGCATAGCATTTGTATGGTCTCCACTTACAAATGAATGGAGCAGTTGTGAGGTGGAAATGTTTACAAATGTATACATTTGAACCAATTTAGAAAATGACCACAACTAGTTAGTAAGAGTCTGCCAGTGAGTATAGTACAGTTTTACAGTGCGAATAATTATTAGAAATACAGTAAATCTGATCATTTCCTGTTAAAATGGACGCTAGACAGCGGCGCTGTTCGGAGCGGAGGCAAATTTTTTGCTTCTGCCGGACGGTTAGTTAGTTAGTTAGTCTTTCCTCTTGTGTCGAGTGCGGCACATAGGGCAGAGGTCGTGACTCTCCATGCACGGCGGTCCGTTGCAATCCGTTGTAGGTCTTGGATGTTTGAGTGGCCCATGAGCGAGCCTTCCCTGATGATAGTTCTACGTAGGGTTTCCCTTGGTCTTCCACGAGATCTTTTCCCCTGTGGTGTCCAAATGAGGGCTTGGTAAGGAAGTCTTGATTTATCCATTCTAAGGACGTGGCCGACATAGTTCCAGCGGCGTTTTCGTATAAAATTAGACACATACTCTTGCCTGGATTCTTGCCTTATTTGTGTATTGGTTCGGAAATCTGACCATTTGAAATTTAGTATTCTTCTAAGGCATTTATTTTCAAAACTGTCTAATTTTGTGTCTAGAGTTTTCGTTGATTTCCAACGACGGACGGTGGCCGAAGTATTTTTGCTCCATTTGTAGACTGGATATAGTTTCGTCGCCCAGCTTCTGAGTTGAATGCATGGCGTGACCCTGTGAGCTGCGGATTGCATTTGGAATGTTTTTTCGACTGTGACCAACGTGGTGTGAATTGTAGATTCAGAAAATGGCGCGATGCCTGTCGTGCAATGCTGGCGGGACCCGTATTAAAATTGATCGCACGGGCAACTGCTGATCTGTTGGCGACAAGTTCTGCTATCATCAATGATGAACTGCATTTCTAATGTTGGACTGTTTGTGTTAGCACTTCGGATGGCTACCGTATGCGTTAATGCGAGTGTATGCTAGATATGCTGAGACAGCAGTCTGTCAATCTTTCCACAAGGGACTGTGATAAACATTCTGGGTGTTTTTCGCTGGCACAGGAGCGGAGCAAAGATGGGGCGACCCGCTTGCTATGAAGCTGAAACTAAGACTACCAGACTAGCAGACTACCAGATTTCAGTAATATCTTGTTGATACTTTCTGTGGTATAAATGAGTTGTAGTCAACTGTTATTTCAGAATTTTAGATTTTTAAACTTTACCTATTTCTGTTTTCTTCTGCCTTTAGTATTTGTGTTCTGGTTATGTCTGTATGTGTCACAGTTTAGTGAATTAATGTGGGAATTATACTGTTTTTTTTTTTTTAAATACATTTAATTTTGAAGTATCACACATAGTTGTTAATGAATTAATTTTGATCATTTCAGTGCCAGATGTGCCTGAGATGGATAAAAGCAAAGTAATGGATAACAACATAAACAACAATATGGATAACAACATTAATAACAACGTGATCACCGAGCCAGGTCTCTCTAACAAGTTAAATCCTGATGAAAAGAATTACAATGGAAACGACATTGTTTACGACACCGATGTCAACGAGTATGAAAGCATGGATTCTCATGAATCTGCAGGCCCCTACATTACAACCAAACGCCCCAAGAATAAAGGCAATCGCAAGAAACATGGAAAGAAAAAGGACAGAAAAAACAAAGAGAAAAATCAACTAGAATTGTCTTCTCCACTTTCTCAAACAGTTACGACATGGACGACATCACCAATAATTGCAACAGAGGATATGTACAAAACAACAACTCCTGAAATCTGGCCCTTAGAACATGAAAAAAATATGGAAGATATCGACACAAGAAACACAATGATTGAGGAAGATCATATGGAAGACGCAGAAAATACAGATGTTGCAAAACCTGCAGAAGATGAACAATTAAAAGGCAGCATCAGCTCGTGGACTATTTACACAATTGTTGGGGCAATTGGAGGCGTGGTTCTTCTGATTGGACTGTTAGCTATTACCCTCACTGTGTGCTTGAAGAAGGATGAAGGTGGCATCTACAAATCATCGAATGTGTAACTGACAGACGACACACGCCATGACCAGTTTGATATATTGATGATCATATTCATAAATCTTCATGTGATCTTCAGTCTGGTGAATGCTGTTATGTGTGCTGATTCTCATAAAACTTGCTATCTGTTGCCCCATCAACATTTGAACAAAACCGTTAGTTGTGTTTGATTAGTTCAAACTGCATTCTTTTAGAGATATATATTTAATTTGATTTGGAATGTCAATTGTGTGAACATATTAAGTGTACTTGGTAAATGGAACAGGTCTGGTGTAAGAGAGTTATGTCATCAGCTTACTTAGATGTTGTTGTCAGAGTGAGATGAACAAAATAATGTGCATTTCATAATACAAGACAATGCCAATCAACATGAAGAGATATCTCATACAAAGCATATTCATTCCAACCATGTGCTACCAGTGCCAGACATGGTCACTCACAATAAATGAGAAAATAAAATTAATAACCATGGAAATGAGATGTCTGAGAAGGGCTGCAGGAGTGACCAGAAGTGACCAGGAGTGACCAGGAGTGATCAGAAGTGACCAGGAGCGACCAGAAGTGATCAGAAGTGACCAGGAGTGACCAGAAGTGACCAGAAGTGACCAGGAGTGACAAGAAGTGACCAGAAGAGATAAGATCAGGATTGAGGTCAATAGAGAAAACTTCAGCAGAAAACAAATTCTAAATTGCTAACAAAGACAGTAAATTGAATGCTCTGCCTGCTTAGAGAAAATGCCTTGTTATGCCTTACCATATAAAGCATACACCAAAAAAAGAAGATGGAGAAAGACCAAGAACAAGATGGAAAGATAACTCAACTGCAACACAATGTGTAGATTGTTGAAGCAGCCAGAAGAGCAAGAAGCAGAACTTTATATGTCCTATAACACCTGAAGTGGTAACAGAGTAAGTGAAGAAGAGAAGAAGAAGAAACACTACACATTATACTTTGTACGTATGGAATCTACATTGTATCCTCAGTATTTCTTGGATAATATTATACTAACTTTATATGTTGGCCTAATAAGTAGGAATCCCTAGTTTAGAAAATGTAGACTGGCATGGCTTAACTCAATCAGTTCAAGAAGATTTCATGGCTGTCAACTTGCGGCAGTAGCCATGATGAAAGGGCATGAATCTATTATTTTCACTGACAGCATATACTGAACTACTTCAACTGTGAAGCATGGAGAAGAAACTTTAGGAAGGAATTAGTGATAAAGAAGAAAATTATTTATAGATATTTTCAAAGTTGACTGTCTGAGACAAAAGCTACATGTGATTGCGAAAAATGGTTTTGAAATTTGTGCAGTCAACATGTCTGACCTAACATTCGAGATTTTCCCGTAGAGAAAATAATGCCTCTGACAAATTTGGCTCACATTTATAAACAGAATGATCAAAGGATCTTTACAAAGGTCTAAAACAAGGAGTGAATTATTAATTTGTCCAAATAAATTTAAATGTTAAATTAGGAATCAACATCCCAGCACTCGAGACAGCCCCATAAGTGATCTGTCCCTATCTTCAGCAGCAAGCGAGGAGTTAAAATTCCAATGGCACCAGTAACTGCCTCAACTTTTCCCTAAGTGTCTATCATCAGCTAGATCCCCTTGGAACTCCTCAAACTGCCATTCTCCTGATACTGAAATGATCTATCTATGCCTTGGCACTTACTCGCGTCCAAAGGGCCCTCACAACATCCAGCATGTAATACATCAGTTCACCACCAAGTGGTGCAGAACCGGCCAGTCTGCCTGCCTGCTCATTTCCCAAAACACCAGCATGACCGGGATAATAATCAATTTGTCAGAAACACTTGTTGTATTTTAAAAGATTTAATGAAGTTATTTGAACATGAATAGTTTGTTTCATACTTGTAAATGGTTGTTATTTTTTTTCTGACAATTGGATGTTTTAAAAAGCAATAAGTCATGTCAAAGTGAAGTGAAGTGAATGTAAAGTAGATAAGTGAATGAGAAGCAAATATGAAGTGACTATTGTAGATATTGAGTACATAAAGTACATATGAAGTGAATGTGATGTAAATGTGACATTATTTAATATAAGCAAATATGAAATTAATAATGCAAATGTGAAGCAAATATGAAGATACTGAGAAGCAAATATGAAGTGAATGTGAAGCTAATATAAAGTGAATGTGAAGAGTCTGAAAATATTTAGAAAATATATTCTCAGACTGAAATCAATTGGGGTATGGCTAGTTTCAAACCTTGATGTTATTTGACAGATAGTTGTTATAAATTTATAACAAGTTTGTTTAGAGATATGGTGCACCGACAGTTAGTGTACACGTATTACCTTACTTTCACAAGCACCTGGGTTTAAACCCAGAGACACTATAGATCTTGAGTAGATCTAGAGCCAATCTGATAAAATAAAAACATGATCATTTTCAGATATATCAGGAAATGATTATAAAATAGGCAGCAAGGAGGGGAACAAGTCATCTAACTGAATATTGTATCATATATGCCACAGATGAACAGGAGCAGCCCTGCAGAAATATCTTCTCTTTCTTCAGGAGCTTGATTCTGGAGCAGACATTTGAGATAACTAACTCTCCACACCTCTCTTACTTCTGATAGTCAATGAAGCTCATGTTGCTTATGTTGTGAACTACTGCAAGGCTGTTTAAACTTTTCATATGCATGTTTCTCTTATCTGCCTTTGATTTTCTTGTTTGTCACTTATTTAACCACAAAAAAGTTAAATTCTGTAATTCCATCCGTCCTAATGAAATGTCCAGGCATTTGTGTCTGGCAGCAAGTAACAGGAAGCAGTAGCAACATCTATTTGTTGCATAATTTCTTGGTCCAGCCCAACCTTTATAGACACTTTGTGCTGAGTACTGGCATCTTTTTTAAATACTTGATGGTGAGCATCAGAATGGTTTCTAGACCCTTTAGGTTCGTTCTTTCTGCGAAAAAGGTCATGGCTATACCCTATTTGTTTTGTTTTTTCTTACAGTCTTGATGCGTCTTTTAGTAGCACCTGCAACTGTCACTGCCTCAGGGCATTTTGTTTTCACTGGTTATGCTGCGTTAAACCACTGATAATATTACCAAGTTAAACTACTGACAATATTTACCAAATTTAAACCACAGACAGAATCTACCAAAGTTAAACCACTGACAGTATTTACCAAAGTTAAACCACTGACAGTATCTACTAAGGTTAAACCACTGACCTTATCTACCAAGGTTAAACCACTGACAGTATTTACCAAAGTTAAACCACTCACAGTACTTACCAAGTTTAAACCACTGACAGTATTTACTAAAGTTAAACCACTCACAGTACTTACCAAGTTTAAATCACTGACAGTATTTTCCAAAGTTAAACCACTCACAGAACTTACCAACGCTAAATCACTGACATTGCTTCCCAAGGTTAAACTCCTGGCAATACTTCCAGATGTTAAACTGGCAGTTCTTCCCAATGTTAAACATGCATCACACACATTTTTAAACTCCTAATGATCCTAAATTTTCTTCCACTTCTTTATTTCCCTCTCATTTCTGAGTTTTTCTCATCTTCCTTCCTCCAGATAAGTGTAAAACATGTACTATGGAAAAAACATACATTTTCACAGCAATTTTTTTTTCTCCATCCATTGTGTTTATTCTATTTAACTGTAGTTGTTGCTTTACATCAAATTTATCTCATATTTTACTTATTTGATGTCTTCATTTGAACTGTAATTGTTTCTACACTGTGTTGTTGAAATATATTGGTGTGAGAGTAGCAGACAGACACATTGTTCAACTAGGAAAGGTTCTAATGTTGATCACTTTCTATCAGGCATGTGAGTGACTTGTGTGAGAACATCAAAATGGCCACAATCATAAACTTTTTTCCCCTGACCTAAACAGCCACGCAAAGCTTCAGTCTAACCCCACCAAGGCAATACGTCTTGTTAGCCTGCAAACCTGCATACTCTGTGACATTGAAGTATCCTTTATTTCATGAAGTATCCTGGGTATATTGGGCAGGCATTCAACACTCTGTCCCTCCCTCTTTCCCTCTTTTGTGGCCTTTTTTTCCTTGACAGTAATGTTGGAATTCTAACTAACTAATGACTTAGTGTTCGAGATTACGCTGTAGAGAAATGTGGTCTCGCCACGAAATACTTGCATAACTAACAGCGGATATATTGCTGCAAACAAACATTGTGGAAAGGGCACGTTTATGTTTTAAAATGTTTGTTTTACAGCCGTGTAGCAAGTATTTTACACAGAGCTACTCTCAGTAGGGGAAGTCGCTTGTGTGTGCATGCGTCCATGTGTGTGTGCGTGCGTGCGTGTGTGTACAAGTAATATAAATTCACAATCAAGTTTTGTGAATATCTGATTTCTTTAATCAAGATGTGTGGAAGTATTATGATTCAAGGGTTAATGTTTTGTTTAGATTAGTTTTCTATTTTTACTTTAAGTTTTGTGTAAATAATCTTCCATTAGATCCTTGTTTTGTTTTTGCTGAAGTGTGTTTAGCTGTTCATTTTTCACATTGATCATTTATTTGTTAATTTAACTTAATGCCTCAAATTATATACATTTTTTTTTTTTTTTCTGTATCTATTCTCTTATGTGTTGTTTGGGGACAGTATCTCTGTGTGAAAGAAGCTGACTCACAAAGAGAATTGATTGCCCACATCAGAAAGAGACAAGCTACATTCTTTAGTCATGTGTTAAGATGGAGAAAGCTGGAGTAAATTGTGACAGCAGGAAAGATGGAGGGGGAGAGAGGCAGAGAAGAGACAGAAAGGAAAGATGCTGGACAGTTTGACATCATGGCATTGAGTATCATCTGTGTCAGAGTTGTTTGACAGTACACGAGACAGCAGGTTGTGGATGGACATGATTATCAACGCAAAAGGGCATGGTCTTCAGGAAGAACAACACTGTATGTATGATTACATTTACTGAGTTAAGTCCCTGGTATCTTTAAAAGATGTGAAAGCGAACGAAAAGTATATTAT